GCTTTTACAACTAGGGCTACCAAGTGGGGGCGGGGAAACCCCCGCTTTGGAGGCCCGATTTCTGCCGCGGCGGAATTGGGCCCTGGAGGGAACTCCGCCCCCCCGAAGCTGCGTCACGAGAGGTGAGCCACATCACTCATGTTGAGGGCGTGGCCCAGATCATCCGGGGGATAACCATATGGTTTCCCCCCCGACGATCTGGGCCACGCCCCCAACATGCTCTATGTCGTGCGTCACTTCCTGTGACGTTCTGGCGGCGCACGCGCATCACTCGCCAGCTCCCGGATAGAAGCAACGCTCCCCCGCCAGTGAGTCATGCCGACTTGGCAACCCTATTTACAACTGATCTTCAGCTGACAGAAATCAGCTCCCCTGGAGAAAATGGCTGCTTTGGTGGACTCCATAGCATTGTACCATGCTGAGGCCCCTCCCCTCCCCAAACCCATGCATTTTCCAACCCAGACCTGGCAACTGTATATCTCACTGAGGTCTTCCCCAAACTCTGGCCTCTCCAGCTTCCAACCCACAAATCTCCAGGAATTTCCTAACTCAGACTTAGCAACCCTATCTCACCTGGAGATTGGCAACCCTAGCGGAAAGTCAGCCGCACAGCAGGGGGTTGAAGAGAATGGTTTGATGGTCGCTGGCCCACCTCATTAGCCAGCCAGTCATGGTGGAGGCAAAAAGGAGAGAGAGCCGGTTTAAATGTATTATGACAGGAAAGTGTTTTTTTACTGACAGAAGTTGGTTGCCTACCAACAACCACTGAGGGGACAGTTAGTCACAGTTAGTCCCACACAGGAGCCAAGAGAAGTGTCTTCCTCAGGAGAGAGTCCAGCTTTCCAGCTCGTTTCCTCTAGGCCAGACCCTCCCTGGCACTGGCGCTGCTGCTGAAGGAAGGCAAGGGAGCCTTTGAAAGGTGCTGGGCAGCCTTCTCTGTGGTGCAGCCCACTGAGCTATCACCTTGACGAAGTGCAAGCCTTGTGGCCAAGGGAGAGGGGCCACGAGGGGCAGCGAAGGTGAGTGCTTCCCCTGCTTGCCGCCGCTCGCTAAGTCTTCCTCCTTCTCCATCGCTGCTTTTTTGGCGGAGTGTCCATCCCCTCCGCTGGCTCCCTCCAGACTGAGGGCAAAACGCTGCCCACCAGCTCGGTGGGTGGGGCTGAGCCAATGCAGTGAGCCAATGCAGCCACGGGATTGGGAGACTGTGAGAATGGCTGTGGAAGCGTGTCCAGGAGGCACACCAAAACTCTTTTATTATAAGGAGAGATAGGAACAGGAGCACCATGTTTAAGTGGTTTTTTGACTCTTTTGACTTGACTCTTCCAACAATAGCTGCTGCTCTTCACACATCTCAGGCCCCATGATGTCCATGATTAGAGGTTTTTCTATTTTTAGAGAATTAGAATATAAATTTAGATCTTTTCAGTCAAATTTATACTTAGATGTTTATAGAAGTCACCAGTGCCATTCCCCTCCCCCCCAAGTCAGGCAGAGCTGCTCAAAGAACACACATGCAATAAAAAAAAATGGAGAACAGTCTGACTTTTGTCTAAGCCAGTCACTGATAAGCCAGTCACTGATAACAATTTCTCTTAATTTCTCACTCCAAGGGGGAGAGAAGGCAGCATACACCATCCCTTCCCCCCTTCCCTCACATCTGCTCTTTGAGGTAAGTTAGCTTAAAAGTGATTGGTTCAATGCCTCCAGACTCACTCCTTTATGAAAAAGCTTTGCCATTGCCTTATTGACACTCCACTTTTGAGCCTTTATGCCTCCCCTTGACTTTTATTTCTCTGTTTATTTCATACCTCTTCAGTCAAATTTACACTTAGGTGTTTATAGAAGTCACCAGTGCCATTTCCCTCCCCGCAAGTCAGGCAGAGCTGCTCAAAGAACACATGCAATTAAAAAAAATGGAGAACAGTCTGACTTTTGCCTAAGCCAGTCACTGATAACAATTTACATCATAGTCACAAATATACCACTAAGTTTGAAGCAGATTTGTGAAGGCAGAGCTTTTTTTGCTCTTCTCCCACACCAAACTCCTCTGACTAACTGGAGGCCTAGTTTCAGGCTATGCCCTTCCCTAGTATTGTGTACTAATTAATCAGAAGTGATCACTGTGACCTAGTTCAGGGTTGCACCTGCCGTTATAGTGCAGCAAACCAAGTTCACCATGATGAGAGGCCTGGCCTCTGCAATGCGTTTGCTTCCTCGGGCCTCTTTGAAGTCACCAGGGCAAGAGGAATTCTAGGATCGTAAGAGAATAAATTTCTGAGTAAGTGTGTTACGAACAAAATATTTTTTATTAAAATCTTCATTTGCAGTGGGAGAGAGATCCACACGTATAAGGGCTCAGGGCAATGAAGGTTTTCAGGAAGAGAGGATGGTGCCGGCATACCATGAATGTAGCAAAACCTGCCAACTACCATGCTCTTGTCCCATCCTTGTTGTCAGAATCACAACTGCGAGCCAGGACATCTTCTCAGTCCCATTGTGCCATTCTCTGAGGGGTGTGCTTGGGCAGTCCCACACTGCCCAAGTGGGGACTGAGGGGTGTGCTTGGGCAGTCCCACACTTGAGAAGGCTGCCCAAGTGGGGAAAACACTTGAAGTATAATTTCATACTCCCAGTATGGTCCCTGACAGTTGTGCCAGTTTTCTCAGCCAAGAGAGGCTTACATCCAAGAACTAAAAAACAGGCAAACCTAAAATACACACACATATCTTTATATACATACACTTAACATACAAAGACAAAAATGCCTTCTGCTATTGCTTAGCTGCATTGAGTAAGGGAACATTCCACTGCATTCATATTCAGTACATGGAATGAAAATTATCACAGTTTCAGGATACAAGTCCTTAACAGGTGCCCTCGAGTGAAAGAGTACCAGTATTGGCTTTGGTTCACAAAGCAATATTTGGCTATAATATTGAATTCAGCAGCACTCACTTCAGAGGGTGGAAATGGGAACTGTCAGTCAGCCAGTATGGAAGCACATGGAGGCTGATTTACTCTTTGCAACTACCAACTAAGCCTGACTGAAAGAGCCTCTGCAGCAGCAGGTAGCCACACGTTACCATTCCAAGCATCCTACAGATGCCACCATTAGGAAAGCTGGTGCTGACATGAAACTCGCCACATGATGGGGTGTAATTCACAGGACTAACTACTATTTGTCTGAAGCAGCTTCCACTTGGTGGTCATAGACCAGCACTCAGGGAACAGAGTAAGTATTCAGATTGTAGAAGCTAAGTGTGGAAAATGAGACATCTAACCCTAAACAACAACATAAAATACAACAGCAAAAGGAGTGTTCTGATCAGCAGCTTCATTAAAACATGAGCATAGGGTATGACTTTGTATATTCTGTTTTGACAGCTGAAGCTGGGAGAAAGAAAGGATATGGAGAGCCAAAACATGGTGTGCTCAACATGTGGCCAGTGAAGCCATACTGTGCAGCCTCTAGCTCCCTCTCATGAGGCTGGGGGAAGGAGGCACAGGCACACCATGTTCTCTGACCCCCCCCCAAAAAAAACCCCTTCCTACATCCCTAAAAGGCTCTGGGATGTAGCAGGAAGCTTTCCCTCCCCCTCTAGGAAGGGTTCAGAATGCCACCTCCAATCTAGGAGACACAGGCAGTGTCTGGGCCCCCCACCTGAGAAGCGTCCTCTGTGGCCCCAAGTCTGGAGAGGTCAGAACACCTCCTTCTCAGCTGATAGGTGGCATTTTGTTCCCCTCTCAATTAGGTGGGGACAACAATGGGCAACCCATTTAGCTCCAGTCATGGTCCATTATGGACCACATACCTATCTGAGTTGTGCCCACCACCCTGAATGTACCCCCTTCCCCAGTTCATTTGTGCCCATTTGGGAAAGGGAAGCTGCTACTTCCCCTTCATACTACTCTCTTTTTATTGCCCTCTAAAAACACAAAGTTCCAGCTTTCATGTAGTGGTTAGGTACATGGATTCTAATCTGGGAGAATTGGGTTTGATTCCCCACTCCTCCACTTGCAGCTACTGGATGACCTCGGGCAAGCCACAGTTCTGTCAGAGCTGTTCTCTCAAGGACAGTTCTGGAAGGAGTTCTCTCAGCCCCGCCTTCCTCACAGGGTGTCTGTTGTGGGGAGAGGAAGGGAAAGGAATTTGTAAGCTGCTCTGAGACTCTGAGTAAAGGACAGGATATAAATCCAATCTCTTCTTCTCCTGTCTTCCAAAACTACTGTGAAGCTGACTATAAGGAATCAGCATTGGCACTAGCTTAGCAAAAACACATCTGAATTTCCTGTATCTGAAGAGAGAGAAAAAGAATCACTTTGTATTCTAAAGACCAGCTAGAAAAGCCAGGCATATGTTTCAAGTCACATTTTAGGTCTAAAAATAAATACATACAGGTAAAACCATGAAAAACTAGTTATATAACATTAAAAGTAGAAATGGCAACCTTGGAGGTAGAAGCAGAAGGAGAAAATACAGGCCTAGCTTCTCAGTCATTTAGGCACACACTCTAGGTGCATTAAAATTAATTTTAAAAATAGTGGGTACTGCTTTATGGTGTATATTCACTGGGGCACCTAGACCACCACAGCACACTAACCACCCAAGCAGCCCCTTGTAGCATCGCAACTAGTGGAAGGCGGTGGTGTGGGGGGGAGGCAAGGAGCACTATCTTTCAGACCAGCCTCACCCCTGTGCCATCTAGGCCAAGGTGAGCTCCAGCAGTGCTCACAGCACCAAGGGGGTTTTAGGCCCAGGATCCAAGGGGGCACAAGTCAAGGAGGCAACAGACACCAGTTGCTTTTCCAACCCACACTGCCAAGACCTGCTTCAGCCAGCCCTGGGCAATGCTCCCTCTAAGCTGTGGAGTCTTGTGAGCAAAAATTCTACTTTGTGAGCTACTGGTACTAAAGTTGAGAGCGAGCGCTTTGACTACTGCATAAATTAGTTTGCTCTGGAGCCATCATTCCTGAGTGAAAACAAAAATATGTGAGCCGGAGGCTAAAAAACTGTGAGCTAGCTCACACTAACTCAGCTTAGAGGGAACACTGGCCCTGGGTGTGATCAACCCCATCACAGGCCTCAAGAGATTTGAAATCAGTAGCTACTGAAAGATTTAGCTCAGTTCTACTCTACGAAATTTCTATTTTCACCTTGAAACTGTTGAAAGACTGCCAAGTGCATTTCTATGCCACAGGACCCCAGAGACATCAGGTAGCTTTTAAGGTATTGATGCTATTCATGTGAAATGAGGGGAAAGGCCTAACACAGGGGGATTAATGCAGAGTACAGCGGCTTTGTGGGAGGATGAATTCCACACCAAGTCATACTGTGGCTGAAAGGGGTACAATAAGTCCATTTACTTCAAATGAACTCCCTTCCGCCTCAAAGAATCAAGTGAAACAGCAACAAATAGAGGCACTGACGTATCACTAGGAGAAAAGGCTGAGGCAGAACTAGTCTTATCATTCCTCCTCTCCTCAGGGGCCAGAGTTATTCAGAACTACTAAGTGTAGTAAAATGGCTGGAGCTCATCAGCAGTTTATGGAAGGTGGGAAATCCTTCAGCTGTAGGCCTTGGTTTCAAAAGCATCAACAGTAAATAAAAACTGTCCCATGCCTCAGAAGTGGAGGGCAGCTCTTGGGGGAAGATCAAATAGGCTTCGTTGTACTGTTGTAAACCAGGTGCTCGGTGTCCTCAGTGGTGGAGAGGACTGAAGAGAGAGTGGAGTTGGCAGCAGTAGTTGGCTGGCGTCGCCGGCGATAGGTTTTTCTGTTCTTGAGCAAGAAGTACCCCAGGATTGCCAATACAACCATGATGCAGACACCAAGGAGTACAGCAATGCCCACTTCAAAAGAGCCTGTAAACAGTTGGGGAAAAGTACCATTTACTCTGTTGGCATTAACAGACATCAAGAAAGCAAAGCAATGGGATATATCCCTAAACCTTATACCTCTTGTTTCTATGGACCTCAAGTTGTGACTTATTTAGCAAAAAAAATTATGTTTAGGATATACTGGGCAGGACACTACTGTGCCTTTTTTAGTAATGGATGGTCCATTTTTGTTGACCACCTGTTAGAATCCAGGAGACAGGCAAATAGTTTCAAAGTATGTAAGCATCCTCAAAAAATGTCTGAATATTCTAATACAAAATTGATATGTGTAATAACTTAAAAAAACTGGACAGGTTGAAAGCATATTTTTAAGAGATGCATCTTGTAGGTTACAGTGGCAACAATTTAACAAGACGGGTAGCTGTATTTGCCTGTAACAGCAGAAAAGAGCAAGAGTCCGGTAGCGAAGTGAGCAGTAACTCATGAGAGCTCATACCTTGCCACGTATTTTGTTAGTCTTTTAGGTGCTACTGGACTCTTGCTCTTTTCTACAACAATTAAACACTTTACTTTGTTGTTGTTGTTCAGTCGCACAGTCAAGTCCGACTCTCCGCAACCCCAGGGACCATGGACACTTTACTACTACTTTACTAAAAAAAGCACAGTAGTGTCCTGCCCAGTATATCCTAAACATAATTTTTTACCTCTAGTAATCTGATGAACCTTGTTCTAGAGTGCCTTCTGTGTTGCATACAGGATTTGTGTCTGGGTCAATAATACTGGGGTCTCTCCCAGAGTCCTCTGCAACACAGAGATCTCTGGGACTCAGCCAAAGTCCATGCAGGGCACCTAGACCCAGAACAGTTGCTTTATATGTCATGTAACAGGGCACCTACAATTGTGCATGCACACACACAGAGTTAAATGTGAACCAGCTCCTGGGTATGCCCGAGTCACTGGGCATAGTTGATATAGCTTTTTGGATCCTAGCTATAAAAAAAACCAGCCCAAATCCAGCTGTAGCCCATTCAGAGATCCAACTGAACCAAGTTTATAGTATGGCACTCATCCACCTATTCATTTTGTAATGCCACTGATACTTGTGCAGACTGTTGGGTAAGAAACTGCTGGGCTGCAAAGTAAAGTATTTTGGGGGAAAGACCCCTGAGGCTTATTACTTGCAAATTCAAGGCTGATATCCTTGGACACTAAGAATTCTAAACTTACACTTACCATGATTTATTTTTAGTGCTAGCAAATACATTTCAAAGGAAAATCACATGGTGAAACTAAAAGTTCTGCTAAGGTATGGAACCTTTTCCCTGGGAATGGGCATTTTTCTTTTCATAGTCACTTCTAAACTCAAAATATTATGGTGCTGTGTTAATTTTAGCATCAGTTAACTACTATAGCGAATGTCTGATTACAGTTATTAAACTTGAGGCAATTATTTTGTCTGAGACACTCACTTGAGTTATCAAGCTCATCACGGGGCCCCATCAGCCTGACTACAAAGCCAAGAAATTTTATTCTTCCTTACACACAATTGCATACCACTCTTTCAAAGGTAAGGTAAGTAGACTTCTACAAGGAGAACCACATAAATACAAAGGATTTTAAAAGGGGAATTATATATAACTTTATTTTTAAAAGCAATTATGAAGCCAGAATGCCAGCAGGGGTTTGGGGACTATCCAGTGTTTTGCACTGAGTGTCACATGTATGACTATCTGCCCACTGGACAGAAGTCTTGGCCCGATACAAGGAGCTCCTGGTTCTCAGGGAATGAGTTTGCTCCCTTGAGGCCAAGGTGGCTGACCTGGAGAAGCAAAAAGAGTCAGTTAGGCGCATGGAGAAGACTCTCGGGGACTTGTTAGATATGTCCTACTCTGAATATGGCAGGCCCGCCACTGTCAGGGAGCCTGAGGGTTGAGAGGAAACAGGGCACCATGCTGAGGATAAGGGGAATGTGCTCTCAGGACGTCTTCTTCAGCTTTCGCACCAAGGAACCATCCCTTGGCAGGGAGGGAGGGGGGCTCTTGATAGTTGGTGATTTGATCCTTAGGCAGGTAGACAGCTGGATGGCAAACCCGCAAACTAACCATACGGTGACTTGCCTGCCTGGTGCGAAGGTAGCAGACATTACATGTGTTCTAGATAGGCTGGTAGATAGTGCTGGGGAGGAGCCAGTGGTCGTGGTACATGTTGGCACCAATAATGTGGAGAAATGCAGTCGTGAGGTCCTGGAGGAAAAATTTAGGCTGCTAGGCAGGAAACTCAAGGCCAGGACCTCCAAGGTAGCCTTCACAGAAGTGCTATCTGTTCGACGTGCAGGGCTGGAGAGACAGGCACAGGAGTCTCAATGCGTGGATGAGACGATGGTGTGGGGCAGAAGGTTCAAGTTTGTTAGGCATTGGGATGCTTTTTGGAACAAGAGGGAGCTGTGCAAAAGAGACGGTCTCCACTTGTCCTAAGAAGGAACCAGGCTGCTGGTGCTTAAAATCAAAAAGGTGGCAGAGCAGTTTTTAAACTGAATATTGGGGGAAAGCTGACAGGAGATTAAAAGTCTCTGGTTCGGGATGGCTCATCTAAAAGAGATGAAGGGGTAGCTGTTACTTTTCTACAAGGAAATGGATTAGAATTGTCCACTGAGACTGTGGCTGATATGGACTGCCTGGCAAGGTCTTGAGGCAGCAAGTGGAAGGTTGCGGGCTTAACAGACATGGGAAACTATAGGTGTTTATATACAAATGCTAGAAGTGTCCGAGGTAAAATTGGGGAGCTGGAATGCTTGGTGTTGGGGGGTAAATAGACATTGTGGGAATTTCAGAAACTTGGTGGGATGAGAAAAATCAGTGGGATACGGTGATTCCTTGTTATGAATTATATCGGAAGGATGGGGGGGTTGGAGGTGGGGTGGCTCTGTATGTCAGAAAGGGTATACAGTCCAGTAAGACTGAGAGGGTAAGAGAATTGGATTCGCTTCAGGAAATGCTATGGGTTGAAATAGTGGGCCCAAAAGGAAGCTTAACACTGGGAGTTTGTTATCGCCCACCAGATCAAAAGATAGAGGAGGATTATAAAATGATCAATGAAGATAGTGGCTATACAAAATAACTGTGTCATAATAGGTGATTTTAACTACCCACACATTGATTGGGTCAATAAGTGTTCAAATTGGGAAAAAGAGATTGAGTTTCTAGACACACTCAATGACTGTGCTATGGGGCAGATGGTCACAGAACCTACCAGGAGAGAGACGATGCTGGATTTGGTCCTAAGTAACACCCAAGACCTGGTGAGAGATGTAAAAGTGATTGCACCGCTTGGGAACAGTGACCATAATGTTATTGAGTTCAACATTTGTATAAATAGGGAAGGGCAGATGGTCACAGAACCTACCAGGAGAGAGACGATGCTGGATTTGGTCCTAAGTAACACCCAAGACCTGGTGAGAGATGTAAAAGTGATTGCACCGCTTGGGAACAGTGACCATAATGTTATTGAGTTCAACGTTTGTATAAATAGGGAGTTGCCTAAAATTACTGACACAACCACTTTTAACTTTAAAAGGGGTAACTTCTCTGATATGAGGGGACATGTGAGGAAGAAACTGAAAGGAAAAGTAGAAAGGGTCAAAACTATTGGGGAAGCTTGGAGACGATTTAAA